TTGACTACGCCACTTGCATCCGGAACCACTGCCATGCAAGATGCGGCCTTAAAAATGAGTGTTCTGTCATACTATACTACAGAATAATTGTTAGTGAGCGTGTTATCGCTATCATGGACTGGACCGAACACGTTTACTGCTGCGCGACCGCGCGCTCGTTGGCCAAGTTTCACGGACGCGTTGCACACCTGTTCGTTGTGTTCGATGCAGGGCAGGTCTGCTGTTGGGGAAATTTCTTGCGATATGGGACCCACCAGATTTCCTGCTCTGATGACGACCCCTTCCCCCTCTCCCCCATCCTACCTAGCAACTTGCTCAATTTTCTCAACTTCTTACCACTCTCCCAGAGTTTTTTTTCCAAGATATCTAAAAATTCCTCTACTTCCTTCACAAAAAGTGCAGTCGAAAAGTGGTGAAGGGGGTCTCCAGCACGCCTGACCGCTTGAAACAACCGCAACCGAAAACGTTTTTTCAGACAACTGCGACCCCTCGCCGCTCCCCCCCCCTGTGATGACCCAGAGGGCCCCCTCGCTGAGTATCCCAACGTACAATGTGACTTGGTTCGACGGTAAGATTTACTCGACCGTATTGCGCGACTGCCACCGCTGCTTGTTAGGTGGCTGTTAGGCAGCGTTCAAACTTCGCGACGGCAGCGCTTCGGTCGCGCGTTCGGCGCGATCGATGCGCATGCTTTCGACTGCATCGATCGCGTCGAACGCGCGACCGAAGCGCTGCCGTCGCGAAGTCTGAACGCTGCCTACGCATTACGGTACGAAAAAGTTCTACCTTGAATGTGCTGAAGGACCAGCCACGTTTGCAGTCAGGGAAGTGAGTGTTATTGGTGTGCCCCTCCTTTCACTCGGTTGGGGCACAGAGGGTGGAGAAGAGGGACGTGCAAATGACGTTGACGTGGTGACGATGACGCTGGCGCTGCTCACCCGATAGCGTTAGGATAGGTTTCTTTGAATCAGCAGTTGTAGCGGTCCAGCCATTAGCGATTGAGCACTAGCGGTCGCAGACATAAGGGAATCGCCCAACTGAGTCATTCCAGTAACGAAATAGAGGCACGGCCTTACCGTGAGGTCTTCGAGCTGCTTCTGTAGGGCTTCTTGATTGACTCCTTGGTAGACGAAACTATTCACGGAGGATGACAGCGAACTGGGCAAATCCGACGTAACGCTTTGCGTGTCGACGTTGATCGTCAGTGGGAACGACATGGCTGGAAAAATTATAACCTTCAGACTCCCATACCATTAAGAATCGGCGATTTTCTCCAATCTCTTCTGAGAGAAATCTAAATCAAGTAGGATTCTCCACTAGCTTACTTCGGGCATGTTTCGCATCAGGGCTAGTCGGACTGTCCATGAGCTGATCTTCTGCTTCTACCGTTTCTTCTTGTTCGCTTAGAGCGCCGAAATCTCTTCGCAGTCGGTTTGCCGCTGCCGTCAAGTCTGCAAATACGTACTATGTCACAAGACGAGAAATTTGATTACGTACCCAGGTTTTTCATTAGGAAAAACTCATGGTCAATATTAATGTCCTTTTGGAGGAATGAGTCATATTCTGAGTCAGCCAACTTATGGTTAGCATATGTTTCAACGAAATTACCTTGAGTAGAGTTGGCCTGCACCAGTTTGATGGGTACTCGATGAACCTTTGTTTCTGTGGTGGCGAATTCTTCCGATTTTCGGAACAGTGGATCGTCCTGCAAAAATGGGTTTCAAGATGGAAAATTGGGATTATGAAGCTGAATTGACTCTGGAGGACGATAATATCTTAGCTGTAGGGCTGTTTACAGCTGGGGCGTGTCAAGGGCTGGTGTAGCGCTGCCCAATCCGTTTGATAAGCCCTGCAGCGACAAGACGTTACAGCTAGGATATAGGACCGTTGCGCGGATTCCATAAGGGAGTGTTGAGAGATCTCTTTCAGTGATTTCCCCCTCCGAGACCCCTTTGATGGGGTATTGGGCCGTCAGGAGGGTTCGTCGTACTGATAGCCACT